GATGTGGTATACCTTAAGGGTAGCCATCTGGCCCATTTAAAAATTTTACAGTTTTTCTTTTATTACAAATTGCATACTTTTTACACCTTTTTTCTCATATATACACTCACAAATCAACCATTATGGCTCAAGAATTGGATTCTATGGTCAATTTCACCCTTGGTCACCACTGGAGGCGTCACTGGAACTCAACTGGATTGGAAGCTACACCCTCTGGACCATCACTACACTCAATTACACAACTCACCACCATGGCAACACTTCAACACTCAACACCAACAACAAATTACATCATTCACACTACACACATGCACGTTGCAGGACAACTACATACTCACATCATTATAGTACAGGTATACACATAACTACACTATCTTCTGACACTTGCTATATGTAGCTGCTAGGCTGGTCCTGTTGCTATGTCACTTGTTAATCTTCCTTGCAGCTGTCAGACTATCTCACACCACTCATGTAATATTCATCACCTCACCTTAGCTTGCAGACTAGTACATCACCTCATGTAAAATGCTTCACCAGCATAAAACCCTCATGTAGACTTCTAGTTCCAGCTAAAATAACTCTTATGACATCATGTAGGTTGCTCAACCAGCCAAAATACCTCATGTACATGTTCTGACTAGCTAAATCCCCTCATTGTAAAGCTCTGGCCAGCTAAAATCTCTCATTCTCTTGTTCCCCTGAAGCTAAAATCCCTCACCTTTGTGTATTTAAGAGGCTCTCCTCTCAGTTGTTTTCCCCTCAGTTTAGTATCCACCTATTTCATACCCCCTGCCATTACACACCCCTTACACACCATTACATACCATCCCCTTACCATTGAAATATCAGCTAGACTCACTCTCTCACTCTCAAATCAACCTTTTAGACCCTTATAAAACTGGGTTAAACCCTTTGTCCACCTGTTAAGCCACAGTTATCTTTTGATACACTCCACTATCACTTTATTAAACCTTCCAATCTGAGATTGGTGGGCTTGTCTAGTGTCTAGTGATCCAGGAAAGGCAGAGGTATCCTCATTCATCCCTTTCCACACTCAGCAAAAGGTTTTCACAAACACTTTTGAGCTTTACAGCGGCCTCATTCAACCCATCTACAACATCAAGCTTAACCTCTATACTCCTGCTCCGATAGAATCTTCCCCAACTTCCAGGTCCTGGTTAGCATTTGAAGGTGCTATCGCCGGTCTCACTCGGAACTGTCTATGGAACCGGAATCAGGAAAAGAACACACCCGGAGTGTCACCTGTGAGCAGTGTTTGAATGATTGGAGGAAAGGCTCGGTTGTAGTGTACTGGAACCAGAGCAGCACCCTTTTGACAACACATTGAAAAAGATGCCGTTACCTTTGATAGATCCGCTTTACTTCTTTCTTTTTTCCAGTGTAAGGATCCACATGATGAACAACAGTCGTTACAAATTCCAACAGTGAATGGTATCTGATCCAAAAAATGTTCCAAGATATATGATTCCCGGTTTTGCGTAGGAGATGTAATCAGGGCCATCGACGTAAGAGTTGTAATCGGAAGTCCCAGGAGTCGGTTTAGGAGTAAGATTGTAGATGCATGATTCTAGAAAAAATATGAAGGAGAACGAATTGATAATTGGTACGTGTTATGTTATTCGGGTCAGGAGTTGTTACAATAGCTGATCCTAGGAACCCGGTTTTGGGATCAGAGTAAAGCAACTGGACCAGGAGAAAAACAACTATTCCCTTTTACGGCTAACATCATGACCTTCGCAAACAAAAGGCAACATGTCAATTGGTTTTTGGTGAGCAGTAATCAAAGGTGCTTGTCACAGTTGGATTTGTTGAACTGAAGGGCTCATCCCAGATTACGGTTTGATCAGGTCAAAGTGCAGATGAAGGATACAGTGTTATGTCTTTTACAAGCGTTACGTTTGTTGAAAATGGACAGGATCATTGGGGTGTTTCAAAGTTATCTTCTGTTCTTCAGTTGAACATTTCCCCAGTTTGGGTCCTCTTAAAAGGGATCGGAACCGGAAGCGGTAACGTTTGAAATGGTAAACATGGTACACGGACCTGGTAACTGTGGCAAGGTGTGGAGATCAACAGGTGTGAATAGATTACCAGTACTATAGTCCTATATTAAATTGTAGATGTATGCAGTACAACACAAAAGAGTGTACAACCCTTGGATCTTTGACAAGTTTAATGACTGATGACATTGGACGGTACATGTATTGCAACTGAAAGATTAAAATGAAATGGCAAAAGGATCTCTACTAAGTACTTCTTCCTGGGGTGGGTCCGGTGGCGGAATCCGTTTTTGCTTTTTTGGTGTACCTTCTTTTGGAGCCCAGGGCGGAGGTGTTGTCTGACAAAAAGCTTTTGGTTGAAGTAGTCGGAGGGATCTATCGTTGTTGGATGAGTGGATCAGGGCCTGAGGCGAAAATAGCCACAACACCGCCGCCAAGTACGACAAGAATGGAGGCACGAGAAAGGTCGCGTGTGACAAGGCGGATTGGTCTGATTTGGCTGACAGGATAAGACGGTAAAGGAATTTATGGAGCGGGAAACTGGTTGAAAATGCTGTGGAGCACAGCTTGACCTTGGGGCTGGTTCATGGGATTGATCCGGAAAACATAATGGATGAATGGGGAATTGATATTGGGATATTAACCCGGAGAACGACAAAGGAAATTTGACTGGCTAAAGCAGGAGAAGGTCAGATGGAAACGGATGCAGAGAGGTTGAAACGGAGAACTGGCTGATGATTGCGGTGTAGAGCAGGTTGATATTGATCTGATTCAGAACATGGGTGGTGGCCGAGAAGGGAAAGAAGAGTTGGTAGGCAGGTCATGTGGGCTGTGGAGTCCGGACGTATGGAGCTATTGCGGGTTGAGGGGTGGGGGATAGGATGCGGTGAAGGATCAGATTACTTGAAGCGGTATTGGGTAGAGGTCCAGGTGATGGACGGGGATGTAGGGGGGTAGCGAGCAGGGTATAAAAGGAGGGTGTGGGAACAAGATGGAAAACGAAGGACGGGGAGGACTGATGCTGGCTGTGTGTAGGGTATTGAACAATTGCCATTCGTCCCTACGCTACAACAGTTGATGTTACAGGGAACAGGATTTGGGAGCAGAGCTGGTATAGGGGAAATGCTGCCCGTCAGATGTGATACTTGACGAATTTATCTGTGTTTAATTGTTTGCATACATGTTTGTACCTTATTTTTTATGTTTTTTTGAAATTTTAAATTTATTTCCTAGGTTTTAATACATGTAGAATTTAATGGTAACATTCAATTTTTATAAAAATCAATGGTTCATTTTTTATAATGCAATCATACCCATTTTTTCACTTACATTTTTACAGCTTAATTGTCAGCCTGCAAGTAAATGTCACAATAGCTTTCACAAGTTAATGTACCATGTACTACACAGACTGCACTATTTATTACTCTTATATTCATTTTATCTTTTATGCTTATATGGAGTTATGCAAGTTGTACATACTATATAAGTTTCTTGTCTCTTGTCTTTGATGCTCCCCAGAAATCCAAGAAGAGACGACTTTATCCAAACCTTATCCAATTCCTCTTGTTCCTGAAGTCAATCTAGGATTCACTACCAGGACCGCTACTTCTAGTTATATTGCGCCGATCCCTGAACTTTACCAAGCACGAAGCCTGTGGTCTAGTTATATCAGCGAATCACTGAACCTGAAGCGGCCTTCGATTTCTCAAAACTTATCACTATCTCGTTTTAGGAACAGCAACCCCTCAAGGTAGCCGGTTCTTACTTGATAGCTGACATTAATTTTCATTCTTTTTTGACATTTAAAATTCTTTCCTACACTTTAATACATGTGAAAAATTATGGTAAGAATAATTTTACATCAAAATCAAAGATTGTTATTGAATACTGCGTTGGACAGGTTTTTTTTTATGTTTTTTTAATTGGTTTTTACCAGCTTAATTTTGAGCATTTTTTGAAATTTTAAAGTTATTTCCTACATTTAAAAATGTGTAGAATTTGATGGTGAAGTTCAATTTTCATAAAACTCGAAGCTTCAATCTTAATATGTGAGTGTACACCATTTCTTGCATAATTTGTACCGTATACAAATTGTATTTTAATGCAAAATGGTTACAGCCATCAATGTTGAAATCTTTTAAAGTGTAGGAAATGAATTTGAAATTCCAAAAAATAAGGATGATTAAATTTGTATGAATTAATTAAAAAAACACGTCAAATGCAGTATTCAAGAACAATATTTGGTTTTTATGAAAAATGATTGTTACCATAATTTTCAAAATGTCTCAAAGTGTGGGAAATACATTCAAAATGTCAAAAAAGAATGAAAATTAAGCTCTTAAAAATCAATTGAAAATTATGGCTAATTACAATATTCAGCATGAAAGGTTGGGTTTGATGGAAATTGGATTATCCAATGGAATTTTACACGTATTAAAACCTAGGAAATAAATTTAAAATTTCAAAAAAACATAAAAAATAAGGTACAAACATGTATGCAAACAATTAATTGAGAAATGAGTGAATAAAAATTAAATAATTAAAATTAATTTTTGTGGAAAATGGTTTCTACCATTAGGTTCTACACGCTTTGAAACATAGGAAACAATTTTCAAAATTCAAAAAAACTCAAAAAATAAGCAGTAAAAAATTAATTAAAAAACCGTGTGTACACGTGGAATCCGCGTGTGCTGCAGAAACCGCGTGTAAATGCGGATTTACCACGTGTTTTTATTAACGCCCTAAATTAAACCAGAGGGGCCTGATAAATCAGGGGTGGTGTAATCCCTCTAATTTATTGTGAAAAAAGAGGAGGATTTAGCAACGGTGGGCCGCTACACTAACCGTAGTGGTTAGTGTAGTGTAACGCAGCGGAATCGCTGTTAGCGCTTAGCGTAGCGTAGCGGAATTCCGCCACGACACCACTAACGCTACGCGTGTGGGCCACAAAAAAGAGCCCACTATGCTGCGCTACAGCGGTTTTTAGCGGTTTTCAGCCGCTTTTTCCGCTAAAAGCCGCTGTAGCACAGCGTAGCGTAGCAAAAAACCGCTAAAAAAACGCTAACACTACCCTTTTTTGATGAAAAATAGGCTTGTTCTATCCAAGCGACACACAACACTGGGATGGATGGCATACATCATTGTAGTTGCCTACGTAGTCTGTGTCGCTTGTTCCGTAATCCTAGATAAGTCCCAAGAGTGTGTTGAATTAGTATTTGTCGATCAGAATTCAATAAAGAAATTGGAATTAAATCTAGTTAGGAAAATCACCTGATTGATGATTGGAAGTATCAGCTTGACTCCGTATTCACGGGCCAGATCAAGCCTTTAGAAATTTCATAAGCGTGAGGATCGGATGAGTTGTGGCAATGAGCTGGGGGCATGCCATAAGGAAGAAAGTGGGTTGACAGTACTCACACATTGTCCATCTGTTGCCAAACGGTTTCATTGTATTTCCAATCTTTTTTCCAAGAAAAAAAAAAAACCGATAAGAAATTAGGAATTGAGGGCGAAGGTACTAAAGTGAACAAACTGAAAAGAAGACATGATCTCAAACACGCTACCATTTGAAGATCTGTCCCATCCAATCACATGAGCCTCTGAGGGAGGCATGGTGCCTTCCTTGAATTTTGTGTTGGCGATTTTTAAGGTATAGGTTCGAGTGACTGGCGTCCCAAAGCCGGCAACAGTCTCCAGTAGATCTTGTACTTCGAAATCATTCCCTATGGGAAGACAGTTTCATACACAAATATCAATCCTATTTAGGTACCCTTTGAAGATGATTTTGATTTTCTTTTGTTTATTGAAATAATTGTGATACCTGCTTTGAAAAAGAGTAGGAGTACTTCAAAATTTATTGAAAGATGATTGAATCAGTCTCTGTGAATTTCAGTTGGTACCAGACGAAGTCTTCGTAGGGCAGGAGGTCCGGACGACCTGACATGCGGCAAAAGGAATCAAGACCTACTTGAAAGCTCTGAAGTCGAAGAGATCACCGTAAAGGTAGAGATGGCCATCTCCAGGCGCAGAGACTATTGAACTTAACTTAGTTCACTGTATCACTTTCTCTAATTTTAAGTTCGCATTTCTTTATTTTATCAGCGCGCCGCAGTTGTTGAAACCTAGTTGATCATGTACAAGTTCCTCACTTTATTGTATCGGTTCTTTTCTTAATCAACCAAATTGTTTCTTAACTACAACTCGCTAATCAACTTCGTTCATCAAACTTAGGTTAGTATTCTTTCACTTCTTATCATTGTTGTTCAAGTCTTAACCCTTTGTTCTCTTCATGTTCAGGTTGGTTCTCGTCGCTGTTCTCTTTAAGTCGTATCGCTGTGATACTAACTTATCCATCTACTCAAAGGTGTGTATTATAAGAAATGCAATCAACCAAATTGTTTCTTAACTACAACTCGCTAATCAACTTCGTTCATCAAACTTAGGTTGGTTCTCGTTGCTGTTCTCTTTAAGTCGTATCGCTGTGATACTAACTTATCCATCTACTCAAAGGTTGGTTCTCGTCGCTGTTCTCTTTAAGTCGTATCGCTGTGATACTAACTTATCCATCTACTCAAAGCTCGTCGTTCATTAGGTTATGAGCCCAGATTGTGCTTAAATCTGCAAGCTTAACAAACACGAATTTTTGTATACGCAATGACGGACAAAACGACCATCAGTCATCTTCCACTTTTGACCAAAGTCAATTTTCAAAACTGGAAGAATGTTATGTTTTCGTTCTGTCTGAGACAACGAGTCGACGCTCATCTTCTATCGGATTTAGTTGCTGGCGAAAAGGACGCTGTAGCTAAGGTCGCATTGGAAGACAAGAAGGCCAACGCTGCTGGCATTCTCGGAGGCAATTTAGGTCTAGAAAACTACGCCAAATTCATCACCGACGACAATGTCAGAGAACCACACAAGATCTGGTCGGCTCTTCTTCAACATTTCCAATCCATTATCCGACTCATCCCAAAATCAAGTTGTTGTTTATCAAGATTTCTTAAAAATCGGTTTCAATTCAACGCTTGAACAATTCATTACCGATATCGATGTTGGTATTTCGAATCTTCGTTCCGTGGGAATCAAAATTCTCAAATTTGATAAGAGTACTCTGGACGAAAAACTTCTCGCTGAGTATATAGTTAACCTCTTACCTCAAAAGATGGAAAACTCAAAAGAAATTATTTTCACCAAGCGACCTCTTGATCTAGACTCGATCAAGGAATATCTTAATTCAAAACAACTCAGTACGACTGGTGTCCCTTCGAATTCAGTTGATTCTCCACATATCAAAACGGAATCGGCTATGAAATCCTCCATTGCTTATTGCGAAAATGGCCAACATAATGAAGCCGCTCATCATAGCAAGAACAATTGCTATCAACTTCACCCTGAAAAAGCTCCTGATTCGTACAAGAATCGTAAAGCGAATGCTGGAAAGAAGAAAGCCAATGCTGTCGTCTCTTCAGAAAACATTAGCGGAGTTTACGTTTGTGTCTCCGATGCTAAGGCATTTTCTCTTGTCGAAAACACTTCCTTGATTTTTCTCGACAGTTGCTGCTCAGATCATATGTTTCCGGATAAACGAAATTTCGTCAACTGTGAATCTATTGAATCTTCGGTTAGCGTCGCTAGTGGTCAATCATTGGGGGTTCATGGAAAAGGATTGGTCAACATAAAAAACGATGATGGTATCACTTTTACGATCAATGCACTTCATGTTCCTGGCCTCACGCATTCACTTCTCAGTTTGGCTCGGCTTTCGCTTAACGGTTGCGATCTGATTCGACATAAAGGCTCGAACACTGAGTTCTTTGTTAAGGATTCATCTAAAAATCTTACGCTTTTCAACGCGGAAATCTCCAGCAACATCTATGTTTGTAAAGCGAAAACGGTTCAACCTCAAGGTCCGTCTAGACAGTCTTCCGTTTCATTCAAGACAACTGAAACTGACTCAGCGCTTCTTCACAAACGTGCTGGACATCCTAGTCGAGAAGCATTAGCGAAAATGTTTGGAGTTTCTTACTCAACTCTAGACTGTGTTTCTTGTAGCCTGTCAAAATCTCATCGCCTTCCATTCTCTAGTCATCTACCCAAACCACAGCGTGTTCTGGACTATGTTTTTATGGATCTAAGCGGAAAAATTACTCCTCAAACTCTAGGCAAAGCTTCCTATTATTTCAAAATCACCGATGCTTTTTCTGCCTTCAAACATGTATACATTATCTCATCCAAAAGTCAAGCTTTCGAGAAATTCAAAGAATACTACAACGAGGTTACCTCTTTTCACTCTAAATCTTTGGTCAATCTGGTTACGGATGGAGGAGGGGAATTTTGTTCAAATGAATTTGAAAAATTTCTTAAGGATAAAGGTGTAACTCATCACATCACGGCTCCGTATACTCCTCAGCAAAACTCAATCGCTGAGCGGGGTAATCGGACGACTAGTGAGAAAGCAAGATGCTTGCTTAAGGAGGCCAATCTTCCGGTTTCCTTGTGGGGCGAGGCGGTGTTGACTTCTGTATTGTATGAAAATGTCACTCCAACAAAGAAGATTCGGTGGCAGACTCCTCATGAAATCTGGTATGGCTCAAAATTCGATTACTCTTGATTACGAGTGTTTGGATGTCAGGCTTTCATCAATATTTCGACTGATATAAGGGTCGGTAAATTTAGTGATACTTCTAGAAAAGGTATCTTAGTAGGTTATAGACTGGGTATTCCAAACTGGAGAATACTTACAGCGGGTACTTGGGTTGAGTACAGTCATGATGTTACATTCCATGAGTCTGTTTTTCCAGGAATCTCCCCGAGGGATCCTGTCTATAACTTATGTGAAGATGACGTCATTATCGGGGGTGATCCCGCATTGTCAAATCTGCCCGCAGTCTCACCAGCCGATCTAAATTTTGTTCCTGAAGAATCTCCAGAGGTTGTTCCTTCTCCGTCTTCTTCTTTATCATCTCCTCTACATCCAAATCCTCTTCCTCTTCCACCTTCCCTTCCTTCGTCGGACAACTCACATCCAAAACCAGGTTGGTCATACGTACCAAAAGACCAACCCGCTCCTAAGAACATCACTTCCGATATCGACGAAAGCAACATCCTCACTTCTAAACGACGTGCTCATCTCGCAAACCAAGAATTAACTAAAGAACCGTGGTTTGTACCATTCTTCAACGGGAGTCTTTGTTATTCTTCAGTTCTTGAAGCTAATACTGTTCCTAAAACCTACAAAGCGGCCATTAACTCGCCTCAATCAGCAGAGTGGACTGAAGCAATCAAAACAGAACTTTCTGCAATGGATCGTTTACAAGTTTGGAATGTCGTTCCAATTCCTCCCGATCAAACGTTACTTGGTTCAGTCTGGGTGTTTCGTGTGAAATTCAATGCCGCTGGCGAATTCGTCAAATTCAAGGCTAGGCTTTGTGCTCAAGGAAGTGCTCAGCGTGATGGGATCGATTACACTGAAACGTACGCTCCGACTGGTCGTGCTTCGGTGTTGCGATCAGTCCTCACTTACGGAGTCAACAACGGGCTGGACATTCATCAGATGGATGTTAAGAACGCTTTTCTCAACAGAACTCTGGAAGAAACGGTTTATCTTCGTATTCCTCAAGGTTTTGATGCTCCACCCGGTACTTGTCTTCATCTGGTAAAATCCATATACGGATTGAAACAAGCACCTTGCGTTTGGTATCGCGAGCTTCAATCGTTCTTTGCCTCCATTAACTTCTTCCCATCGCCGAATGATCCTTGTCTTTTCAAATCCTCCGATCCAGATTGGTTTTGCTTAGTTCATGTTTATGTCGATGATCTGGTAATAATCTCTCAAAATGTGGATCGATTCAAATTGCTCATCAAGGATTGATTCTTAATGGAGGATTTGGGTCCAATAAGTTCTCTTCTCGGCATGAACATCACTCGGGTAGCTGATCACTTGACTCTTTCTCAAGCAAACTACATCACCAAAATCCTCAACGAATTCAACTTCACAAACTGTCGTCCTGTTCCTACTCCAATGATTCCTAACACTCGTTTGGAAGTGGCTACACAGGAAGAAAGAGATGAATTCACAGCTCTTAACATCAGCTATAGACGAGCTATTGGTTTGGTGAATTGGGCTGCGGTAGCTACTCGACCTGATATTGCTTTTGCAGTCTCACAACTTTCTCAACATCTCGAAAATCCTGGTATGAGGCATTGGCAAGCCTTTGTTCATTTGCTTCGATATCTTTCAAAAACCATCAACTTCTCTATCAAGATCGGTGGTGGCGATAATCGTGTGTCGATTTACGTGGATGCGGATTTTGCGTCGTGTGTGGACACCCGTCGTTCTTATTCCGCGTACTTGGTCAAATACGGTGATTCGGTGATCTCTTGGCGTGCGAAGAAGCAAAGTACGGTTTCAAGTTTGACTACGGAATCAGAATACCGGGCTTTGTACGATGGCGTTCAAGAAGCGATTTCTATGCGCACTCTCCTTGCGTCTCTTGGTCAAGAAGTTTATCCTATTCCAATTTACTGTGACAATCAAGCCGCTATCGCACTCTCCAAGAATCCTCTCTTTCAACAGCGTACCAAGCACATTCACGTCAAATATCATTTCGTTCGAGAAGCTGTGGAAGACAAGTCGGTTGAAATTCATTACATTTCAACAGTGGACAATCAAGCCGACGGTCTTACGAAATCTCTTCCGAATCCTCATCATCAAAAATTCCTTCAATATCTCAAATTCAATCTTCAACAATTTATTGAAACTGAAAACTGAGAATGTGGGGGGGTATTGAACTTAACTTAGTTCACTGTATCACTTTCTCTAATTTTAAGTTCGCATTTCTTTATTTTATCAGCGCGCCGCAGTTGTTGAAACCTAGTTGATCATGTACAAGTTCCTCACTTTATTGTATCGGTTCTTTTCTTAATCAACCAAATTGTTTCTTAACTACAACTCGCTAATCAACTTCGTTCATCAAACTTAGGTTAGTATTCTTTCACTTCTTATCATTGTTGTTCAAGTCTTAACCCTTTGTTCTCTTCATGTTCAGGTTGGTTCTCGTCGCTGTTCTCTTTAAGTCGTATCGCTGTGATACTAACTTATCCATCTACTCAAAGGTGTGTATTATAAGAAATGCAATCAACCAAATTGTTTCTTAACTACAACTCACTAATCAACTTTGTTCATCAAACTTAGGTTGGTTCTCGTCGCTGTTCTCTTTAAGTCGTATCGCTGTGATACTAACTTATCCATCTACTCAAAGGTTGGTTCTCGTCGCTGTTCTCTTTAAGTCGTATCGCTGTGATACTAACTTATCCATCTACTCAAAGCTCGTCGTTCATTAGAGACGAACTGGGAGTCTTCCGAGTCGGCATCCGGCTCCTCTTGGGCGCCCCCTCCATGGTAAGAAGATAGCTCAGACGGCGGTGGAACACTGGGTTGAGCTCCCTCAGAGCTTTTCACTCTGTACCGTTGGACTTGGATACTTGAGGTCAGAGATATGGCCAGCGTAGACCATATTAAAAAATGTATTTGTAAGCGCATCTCACGAAGTAAAACGTGCTACTACTTGGCTTTGGAGCTGGGGGTGATTAGCTTGGGGTGGGGAGGGAAGAAGATGATTGGGAAAGATGGCACAACGGCTCGCTCGATCAACGATTATAAAACTCTTCACACAAACCGTTGTGCTATATCTGCGAAGGGGTGCACAATACGAGCAACAGCGACTTTAAAATCTTCCAAAAATCTGTCCGTAAGTTAAACGGTAAACTGTCACCTCTACGTTTTTTTTTTCAACAGATGCAATTTTGAATCTTTTTGGTGAGTAAACGACAGTCTGAATAGCAGTATAGCCTTGATGATGAGATGGGGCAGGTGAGGGAGAGATAGAATAAAACCTGATGTTTTTGACAGCGGTGACAAATCCAACGAGGCAGCTTTGAATTGACTCGAACAGAGCCATCATGTGGAGGGAAGCGAGGTGAACAATCGCCGAATATGGCCTCCAAGATTTGTGATTTCAATCAAGGTACTGATCACACGCTTATCCGTCGTCGTGGTGGCTAACGGTATAAGCCGAGGACTAGGGGTACGGGCAGCTGGAAATCCAATCGCAAGAGATATGTACTCTCGAGATTGAGTCTTTCAGATCATTGTCGTCTCTCCTGAGATAATAGTCTTTTGAGGACAACACCCTCCAAGGAGAGAACAGTGTTTTATTTTTCTTTATTTTACATAAACATATAATAAAAGTGAGAGGTTTCTTCATGAATCCTCAGATTCCTCTCAGCTTTAGGAGATGTATTCGTCCCAGGAATCATTGCTACATCTGGCAATGTTTTTCCGGTCACGTTTAGGGGTGGAGTGACTGGAAACGGAGTCTTACAAGGACACATGATACTCGAACAACTCAGAAAGGCTTTCTCTAACCGGCGACACTCAGCGCGGTTCTTGAACAACCCAACGAGTCAGCAGTCAAGGTTCGTGTGAAGGGAAAGGGCGCGTGGAGGAAAGCTTGAGACAGGGAACTCAAGCTCCAAGTTCCAATCAGGCGACTCTTCGAGTTCTTGCCTGTAGAGCGCTTCATCGAGCCACAGGCTACGATGAGGGAAGCCGTTCGGCCGACGGATTTATGAGCTCCCCTAGGAACTAGAAAAAATTCCAAGTTTCAAGAGAGGAGAGCAAGCCGGCTCAACGAGGCTGGAGAGTGTCTCGATCCCGAAGCAGGCCGTCCGGGCGAGCTCCGGAGGATTAGGGCTAGGGATCATCGGACAGGAGCAAGAAATCGATAGTTATCCTTGGATGCCTTTGTTATTTTTGAGCTCGCCAACTTGTCTGTCTGGTGGAGTGCTGATTGTGGCGGATGGTATCGCCTGGCCATCACGAGATGCACAACACTAGCGTATTGGCATAGCCGACTATGAGCACTTATCGTGCTGATGAACAAGCTCGGAATGCCACATTATCTTTGATGCCCCCCAGCGCAATCCGGAATAAGTTCAAAACTGCCCGTGGATGTTTCGCTCCAGTTTTCCTGATTCCTGGCTGATGACTTAGACTGTTACAGCCGCTTGAGTTCATTGTCTCGCACCAACTAACAATCTTACTGGCTCATTAGACAATCAAAAGCTGAGACTCTTGAGGCATCTTTCATTTTTTTTTTCCTGTTAGAATTGGATGGTGGAAATATCCAAAGGGATTTCGGGACCTCTGAAAAGCATGCGTCCGGTAGTGACACAAAGTGAACACTTCATCTCAATTGCCTGGCTAGCTGACGGCGATGATGTGGTGCTTCTTGTTCTGCCAAGCGGCAAGAGGAGGTAATACCTTCTGGGCCAGTACAGTTCACATCAACTCGGAAGCGCACCGACGTCATAAGCTGCAAGCGCACCTGGGTATTTAGCAAACATCTTGAAAACTTGTGGTCAAAAGGCAAATACACTAGCTTTCTTGACAATGGAAAATTTTCGTATGTGCTCCATTTTCAAAAAGGCTATGTATTAACTGGGGTAGCTAAACAAAATACTACGGTGTAAATGCGTCCATTGGAAAGGAGACGCGTCACAAGACAATTACCAGCCACAGAAAAGGCTCTGGCCAGTTGGAATGGTGGCCCATTCTTGGGATGACATTCTACCAGAATGCATTCAAAAGTCATCACCCAATACTTTTGGGATCCCTGCTGTGGCTCATTTTGCTGCAATTCTTCTTGTGACGCGCATGCTTTCAAAGAGAACTATTCACTTTCTAATCTTGCAATTTGGAAAAGTCTTTGCGTCAAACAGATTTGACAGCTCAAGAAGAGCTGAGCTCCACCAAATCGTGGTGGCTATATAAAGAGTTTGGATTTTTCCGGTGCAGTACTTCCTCCTCATCATCCTCACACTCGGCATCACAGTCTCATCTAAACTTACATCGCTTCACAAGACCCTCTCACACCCCCCAGCCCTTCAACGACAAACCCGCCCACTCACCAACACAATGACTACCAATCCTACTCCTAGCGACTCAGAATCTTCTGCTAACCAATCCGGAGCAAGCCCCGGCGGCGTTCCGCTTGTTGAAGAATCCGTTGAGCCTCGGGCCTCCTCCACTCCGGAACCCCAAGTCAATCCGGAGCAGAATGAAGCACCCGCTTCCCCGCAAACTGCCCACGCTGATCACGCTTTTGGGGAGGACTGGATACAACTGCCTGATGAATTCAATTCTGGCATTATGGCCCTCCTTGGACAACTTCAAGGTCCCCTTGCGCTTGAACTAGACGAGGCTGGTGGCCCCAGATTGCCCCAAGGGCAAGACGAACCTGCATTTGCTCAGAATGCCCTAGAACTCGTCCGTCTTCTTCAGGCAATGCCCCAAGCTGCGCCAGCTCAACCGGCCCAAATCGACGAAACCGCCTGGGTAGAAATGCTGCAAACTCTTACTCCTGAACAACGACTCATCGTCGAAGGTTTTGAGAATAGGACAATTACAGTTCGACGAGAGCTTGTCAACAGCCCTGCCCAGGACAATAATCGTATGGTAGCCCTCCGCGAATTCTTGGATCACCTTGAAGAGCTTCGCAGAATTCTGGCCAATTTACCCCGCGAAACTGCCAGAATGATTGAGCGATTCTATGCTGAGGCGCATCGGGAGATCGATCGGCTGATGGACAACCCTGACCATATTGCCGCGGCGCGACAAAACATTGATCCCCTGCTTGATAGCCTGATCAACACTAACTTGACGTCTCTCTCCTCAGATGTTCCTCAGCACGACTCCACCAAGTGCACAGTCTGCTTGGAGGAGTATGCTGAAAGCGATGTAATTGTGGTACTACCATGCCACCCAACCCACCACTTTGACCGACGCTGCATTCACGTGAGTCCTTTTCTTTTGCTTCAACTCTTGTGCTTCACATCTGACTTCATTTTACGCCCTGTAGGACTGGCTGCAAACCTTGGTCCCCGGACCTCCTACCTGTCCTAACTGCAGAGCCCCAATCGTCTTCCAACATGATCCTGCCCCTCCCCCTCAGTGAGTTCCCGGCGGCCAGACTTCACCAATAGTGTAGATCATGATCAAATTTAATCACTTTTTGCATGTAATGAGTTAGCATTTCCTGAAATATAATTAGCATTACTGCCATTCTTGACTTGTTCACCTTGAGATGATCAATGCTCTATCTACCAAGAGGAACGTACCTGACAAAGCGGTCCGTCTCTTGACTGCCTGCCCAGTCAGCTACTGTATTTTTTAAAAAACCCCTCGGTATATCTTCAGAGAGTGTCCACTTGGTCAGCGCGGCAGAGAGCCATCTGAACAACTTTGCCTCAGAGTACGAGCTATGGTTTCAACAGACATGGGCGCCCCTTCCCATCAATTTGGCCCCCAACATCCTCCCAGTCACCCACGCCGTATTTTTCAATCCCCTTCGCCAGGGACACCAAATCAAATAACAATAAGTAAAACAAACACTCACAAATATTAAGGAATGGAAAAACAACATGGAACAGTTGGACGGTAGTGTGATCGCGCACTAGCGTCAAGTCAACCTTTCTTCGCGACCCCAGTACGCAATAAGCCGCGCGCGATTTCGTCCCCATAAAAACCCTTCGGTTATACTGCCAGTTAAACATCAAACCCCGGGTGGCCCCCAAACCGTCTTGGGGCCACAGGAAAATAGGTCCTACGCGGCCCAGTGAGAGCCCATATGTCACACAGACCCTGGCGGCGGGCATGGCTTTGTCCGGGGTGGGAGGAGGGCCTTTTTAGCTTTATTCAACTGCTAGGATGCCGCTCGGTTGGGACTTGAGAGCGTCGAACTTGTCCGGCATTTGAACCCGAGTCTGCCGCGTGACATCAACAAAACATCTTGCGTAAATACGGTTCAAGGAAATTTAGCTGCGGAGGTGCCGATGTAAGGGGTTATATGTATGTATGTAGCTCTAGAAGCGGGCCGACGGCTGGAGAAGCCGTAATGAGCTACAACTTGACTCACCAACCGGCAGCTGAGCTGAGTCTCTCCCTTGATGGCTTTGATAGGTAGGGCTTCTATTGACCGATAATGAATTTCAGGTCAGGCCGCCGAACGGGGAGGGATGAACAGATTGTGTTCCATTCGGATGGTGACTCCATCATGTTATGTTCGGAAGCGGACCGATATCCCAAGTTGCTGGCTCACTAGGCCCAGCCCGGTCATTCTGATTGATTGGGCAGCGGACCGGCACGGAAGCGCGTCTCGGGCACCTCACAATAGCCGACATTCTAACCCAGACTGGCACGCCGCTCAGACATCGTCTCCGACCCGCTGATGGAGCCAGACGGCCCAGATGAGAATCAACGCTTTGGCCGCTCACTCCTCCCGGCATGCCCTATAGAGGACGCCCGTTTCCCCCTCGTCTTTCCCCTCATCCCACTCCTTTCCACTCCACCGCACCCCTACTGCTATCCCAAAACATTCCTAAAACACCCCACACTAATCCGCCCAAAAAAAAGACTAACAGATTCCTCCAAACCACCGCGCTTACTAACCTTTCCATATACCTATCTCTTGTTATTTTTCTTTGATCGAAAGATTTTATCCAGCTTTTGTTCTTGTTTTTTCCCCATATGTGTTCAGTAGGAGTATACACAATGGATGATTTCTCATTGTACCTGATGCCGAAGCGGGCAGCCCCCGAGTGTCCCCCACCCTGCCAATCAGACGTTCTTCGGTCGGTCTTTGAAGAAGACAATGATGATGAAGATGATGCTGAGAGAGAGTTGTCCCTGCACTCGAGAGTCAACCGAGTGTTCCAAATGATCTCCGGCGTTCGCAACAAACTTCCTAAAGCTCCTTCTTCTTCTAAGTTTCTTTCTCATGCTCGGTTGCGCTCTTTCACTCTATCTCGTCGAAACTCGAAAACCTCTGCTCTCAGTTCTCGCTCTAGTACTTCAGTTTGAACATTCTGTCCTCAGCTATCTGTTTTCTTTTTTTATATAAAGTCAAAGTTCATAATTCTGGTTTCTTTTCTTTTTTTCTCTCTTGGGTTGTCTTCTTTCCATTCCTTGTGAAGACTCAATTGTCTGTTTCTTTTTTTCGAATTTCCTTTTTTTCCATATACTCTGTTTCTTTTTTTGGTGTTCCTTCTTAATCAGTGCTATAGTTCTTGGAGATTTCCCAAGGTTTTTTTATTGCTTTTTGCATTGTGAGATAGGATTTGCTTGTTGTAAATTTATACATACATGAGCAGGTACATAAGTTCAGTGTCTGTGATTATTAGGAAGGATGTCCCCCCCCCCCCCCAAAAAATAAAATAAAATAAAACACCCTACATCTAGACTATGAGTGCTAGCCGATTGGTTCACTTCACCAACAAGCACCCCCTCTGGTTGCATGTTAATAAGCACTGATATCTGAAGACCAAGTGCTCTAGTCTACCTCTGTCCGAGGGAGCAAGTCCATCTCTGCGTCAAGCTCCACCTATTCCTCTGTGCCAAGGTTTCTTACTGCCAACGAAGAGCTTCTGGATCTTCCCCCTCCCGTGCCAAGTAAGGACACAATTATAAGTCAAACAAGATTTATGTTTTTTTTTTTTTTTTTTTGGCCGGCAGAAATTCGAAGCTGTCCCTCTTGTCAATGAACAACCTTCGCCCGGTGGAAGGAGACATTCTGCAGTGTTTTTGGTGACACGCTGTTGTTTGCGATTGGGATTGTGAAAGGAACATGGATTTTGCAAGAATATACCTGCTTGTTGCGAGAGAATGGGTGCTCTATGTGTCCACAACCTTCATTAAGTACACTCATGAGGATGTTTCTTCTTCGATAACCAAGGACCTCCTATGGCTCAAGCATCAACGGAATACCTTCTGGCAATCTTAATCCACGTCTTGGATATTCACTGACAATCCAGAATTGCTTCACAGGATACGCGTGCTTTTTTGTTTTGTGTGTTCGATAGATGGCTCATACATTAAGCCATTTTTTGATCATCATACATCATCAGTCAATCATGATACAGGAACAATAAACAAACACATATACACCTCTTTATTTCTTCAACATGAATATATATTGAGAGCTTTATTTTTGTATAAATGAGTATGTGATTAAGGATACAAAAAAAAAAAAAACACTGGTTTGATGTATTTTTCAAAACAAACAAACAAAAAGTTCTAAAACCCCTGAAACCATCTGCCTACCCTGAATACACAACTTTAGAGCCCTGAAAGAAACAACCACAACACCAAAGAGAACAAAGAAAACTTCCAAAAGAGGAGGGAGAGTTATGTTTTTAAACTAGCAGAAATCTAATGATTCATGAATTGGACAATAGAGCATTCTTATAATAGAGAGGGCGATTAAAGATTAATAAGATTCGAACAAAACACCCAATAGTATAAACAAACGAGATCTTGATTGACGAGGAACTGATGATAACTGTGTCCATGGAACCCATCGAGAAGATCCAAAGATAAAGCAGAAGAAGAAGAGGAAGGGAAGTTCTCGACGTCGTTATGGAGCGGAAGATGATTGAGAGTGAGTAAACTAGGATCGATTTCTTGGGAGTTATTATTATTATTATTAGAATTATTTGAATGTAAATTCGATTGAAGTTGATTGTGATGATGATGAGTAGCAGTCATAGGAGTACTAGTAGAAGAGGAAGGAGGTGGAGGAATGATTGGGTTAGAAGAAGAGGGGTTAGGGTGGACGATGATATCTTTTTCGATTGTAGAAGGATGTTGGAACGACTGCAATCGGAACCCTAGCGAGTCAAGCGAGGTAGCGGTTGCAGGAGCAGTGGAGGAAGCCGAAGAAGAAGGTCTGGGGTGATCGATTGGGAAGGAAGTTTGCTCGCGCATGGAAGTCGAGGAAGTAGTCATCGAGGGCGGAGGAGGGATCGCAGAAGAAGGGCCGGTAGATTGGAGTTTTCCAGGGCCGGGATAAGCGGAGGAGAAGGGATGATTATGAGGGTGGAGAGGCTGACCGATAGGGGTAGAAGATTCTTGCGGGTGATTCTGAATGGGGTCGACAGGATGTTCGGCCGGCGAAGGAAAGAGGCTCGAGGAATCCAGAAAGCTTTCCGAGAGCCGCTCGAACCGAGCACATGTTTCAAATCCTAAGCCAGTGGACGCTTGAACGGCCAAGAAGTCCTTCGACATCTGCGAGAGAGACGGGAACTTGGAGACGTTGGTCTTCCAATACTCTAGTGGAACACTCGTCGATTCCTCGCATTCTACTTCCAAGTAATTCGTGATCTCATCCTTCAAGCCGATCATTAACTTTGGCTTCTTCTTGAAGATCCGTGGTTTGCCTGATGAGTAATCTGAGTCCGAGTCTGTCTCTGACGGATGATGATGATGATGAGCATGATGCGCATGATGATGATCTTCAGGAAAAGCTCGGGGACGTTTATTCACAAGATGATGTTGAAGATTTCCTGAAGAGTGATCGGCCGATGGTGGATCAACAATCATATCATGACTATCACCTTGTGTATTGTGCCGGAAGATCGGATAGAGGCTATACGGTCTGCTAGATTCATAGAACGCTTTTTGGATTTCTTCTATTTGTCTGCCTGGGTTGGCCGAGTTGTTGTCTTCAAAGTTACTCATCTTGATCCTGGGATCTAAGATCATTGGGAAGATATGGACTGCCTTTTTCTGAGTGGTTTCTTGATAGGAGCTTAATCTATCTAGCATTTCTCTGATTGGTCCCAGTAATTCTCTTCCTTCATAATTCCTTCTCACCTAAAAAAGAATAGAAAATCACACTCAAGATGTAAGCAAGAGAGAAGTCAGAGCAAGAAGAGGGCAGGATCACCACACCTTATTCAATCTACGAAGCAGCCAACAGAAGGTAGGAGTAGCGGTGATCATATCGCAAGGCTTGTCGGATGAGATTTCGTTAGCGGCAGTATTCATTGGCTTCAAGAAGTCACAGACTTGACGGACGATCTCCCACTCCGGGTCGAGGATAATGAACTGAGCGAAGCCAGCTTCCTTAAGACAGAAGATCTGGATGGCCTCCTTGACTTGATAGGCGCGAGTGAGGACCTGATAGGTGGCGCACCATCGAGAGTTAGTCTGAGTGATGATCAGACCAGCCTGTGGATCGTTGGTGACGGCACCGACGATCCGGTTGAATGACTCGGACTTTTGGGTTGATTGACGTAGGAGAAGGGTCAGGTTTTGGAGCCGACTGATGATCGTGTTGAGTTGGACGGTCTGAGGGGTCGTTGGATTGGCGAGTTCGGCCCGATTCTCCGAGCTTGTTGACGGATAAGGAGTAAGATCATCGTCCGAGTTGGGCGGGAAGAGGTCTCGGAGGACTAGCTCGGCTGATCGGTTGATGAGAGATCCCATACATCCTATCAGTTGACTCTCGGGTTTGAAGCCAGGGATCAGACTGGCGAGCACTTGGCCAAACTCGATCAGATCGGGCACGTGATCGATCGTCAATGAGAAGATCCGTGCCTGTAGATCGTAATCGGTCAAGATTCCGAGGATGGCTTGAGCGATATTTCGAGAGGAGGGATGCCGGTTGAGTTGGGCAAGACCGAGTGGGACGCTCTTGAGGGTTGCTTGATCGGAGACCCAGTGGACGACAAGTGCGATGAGGTAATGGTTGCGATTGGCGGGGGTGGATCGGGAACAGCTGAAGCTGAGTTTGGGTGAGTTGATTCTAGCGAGTCGATCTTTGAGTGACTGCTTGGCGATCTTGAATTTGAGATGGATGAATTGTGTGAGAGTCTGTGGTTTGAAGAGCAAGGATCGAGTGATGAGAGGGTTACAGAGGTGCAAGAGTTCGATGAACTGTTGGTCGTCGACCGTCTGTGGCGGTAGGTTAGATCGGATGAAGAACTTTGCGATACCGGTCATCAAGGTATCCCTGTTGAGCCTCCTCTTGGATGAGCCTGTGCCTCCGTTGGAGATCCCACTGGGTGGTCCGAGTGAGACGGTGATTGGGCTGAGTGGGGGTGGATCTGATTTGGATAGACGATGTTTCCGTTCGAGATGGTTTCCCATACTCTTCGTTCCACCCGATTTATCTGGAATCATCCTCTTGAGACATAGTTCGTTTGAGCCGGGTGCGATGGGTGCATGGCATACGTTGTAGCGTACTCCAGCGATCTCGGTGGGTTTGAAGTAAGCCCACACCCAGCTGAGTGGTTTCGTTCTCTCTGAATGTTGGTGTGGTTGTTGCTGTTGCTGCTGCTGTTGCTGTTGTTGCTGTTTTGTTTCGTTCATCGTTACGGTTAAACGTGCTTGTGGTGTCGTTTGGTTGGTTTTTGGTTGAGTGGGTCGTTGGTTTGGAGTGGGTCGTTGGTGGTGGTGGACGGTCAACAAGCACAAGCTGTTCTCTCAAACACCAGATGGAGAAGCCAATTATGGGTTTATGGGGAGGAGGGATAAATGCATACATATATGGACATACATACATAGAAGTAGGAAGCCAGTCAGAAACCCAGATTTTATGCATTTAAAAGGCTTTCATCCGCCCCAATTACGTCATACCCGAGGACCGGCCCGTGCAGGACCCGATGCACAGCCTGCCGACCCGACCCGGGACCAAAGCCGAGCCAACTGAATTTGGACTCCTGTGGTGTATGTATGCGTGCATTCTTCGATCGGTAATGAACCGGTTCTCTTAATAGTCATCAACAGCAACAAACACACAGTCTGAGGGTCCGACTCCGCCGACTCCAGCTTCCGATCCGGCTTCAGCTCCAAGCCAGATCTCACCCATCCCGTTTCCCGAGACACTGCAATCCCAAAACTCAGTAGGAATGGTCGAACGTCCAAGCGATGAACCGTCTGAACCTGATAAAAGACCAAAGGAGCAACCACCAGAGCTCATAACCCAAGCAGGTATCTCGAATCCCTATTTTCATACACGCATACAAAAAATGATCAATGATTGGCTGACTTAAAACCTCCATTCCAGATTTGGTGATCCAGGAATTCGTACGATTGGCCGACGAGTACGATTTCGCCTCACCAGCTGATACTCCTGTGGATGTCTCTATTGAAGGATTGAGGTCCAAGAAAGATCTCTTAACTCGTTTGGACTCAAGCCTTCTACCTCAACTCCAACATCAATGCGCCAGTCTTTCTGGATTGTTGCGCGAGCCAAACCATTTGCAGAACAACCCAGCCTCAACGCTCAAGCTCATCTCAGAGATGCAGGCCAATATTCATCTGACTTTGCGCCAAATGACCCAGACGCTCAATGAAATTTTTCCTGGAAAAATCCCCGACCCTTATCAGACAAATGACCAGCGCTTCAACGAATTGAAGATCTATAGACTCCACAGTTTTGAAAATTCTCTCAGAAACACCATCAACTCTCGGCTCGGATTCCTATTTCTAGATTCAATCAGGATTATTGAAAATTTCAAGCTCTCAACAGCTTGGAGAAGTAATTCAGTCGAGCTTGCATATTTGCTTTTAGACGAGAAGATAGAACTAGCCATCAATTATCTGAAAGGATCCGAACTAAAGCTGATATGGGACCTTTGGAGTCGTGGGATCGGAAAGGTGAACAATGGATTGAAAGCACTATTATGGGTGACGAATCCGAACGAAAGTGACTTGAGTCAACCAGCTATCAAACTCGGCCGATCAATCCTCCCAATCTTCAAACTATCCAGACTGTTTTTCAAGAAATTGTATCGACAGAATATCCAGAAGGAAGACGTAGGATTATTCACAGATATGTGCTCTAATCAATTGGTTTCTTTACACGTATCAATCGACGACATCCAAGAATCGATTTCGAATATGTGTATGTCTATAACTGATGCTGATCAACCTATTCCTGGCAATACTGGTCCGGCCATCTTCCAAGAAATCAATAAACTCATCGACTTATTCCAATCTCATCTCTCGTTTATCTACCTCTATGTTCTTCCTAATGTGTTCCCAAACCCCATCGATTTCTCTCATCAAATCTACTTCCAAAACTGGTTTCTTATGTGGACTACCTCGTTTCATCTAGCCACTCATAATGCTATCCAAGCTACTCGATCATTTGCAGATCGTATTTGAGAGCTTTAATCATGATATCATACACCAAGTTGTTGTTGCTGTGAACTATCAAAATTTCTTTGGATTGATTAATATTTCTCGTTTTCTTACAAATGGACAGAGCATTGTCTCAAGTGTGGTGTTTTCATGAACAGTGAAGAATAGGTCGGACCGCTAAATTTACTGAAAGAATTAATGAGAAGTCTTAGAATGCCATTTGATAAAGAGCTACATAACAATATGCACTACTTGTTGAATAGTTATGATGAATAAATGTGGTGCTAAGAATGAAGTTCAAACTACATAAAAAAGGGAGTATCAGAATCATCACCAAAAGATATTGAGCAGCCATGTAGTTCTAACTTCTACATGCATTAGAGTTTTTGATCCTTTTGATTGTTATTAGTAAAAATCCCAAAATACCTGTAAGAGCAACCGCATCGGACGAGGATTAAGAGTGGATTAGCGTAAGTAATCCGAGTCCTCAACCACATCAGGTTCAATTTAATCGGACTAAACTCTACTCCGGAGTAGGATTAGAGCTAAGTAGGAGTAAAGTTACTCCTCACTAATCCTGGGATTAAGGGCCATTTGCATACGAAACACACATGCAACCCCTGGCTACTCCCAGGTTTACACCACACCGCTGCGGTTGACGACCCGGAGTAGCCGTAATCCAGGATTAAGCTAATCCGCTAATCCTCAACTTACACCCGCACCGATGCGGTTGCTCTAAGTGGATCAGTGGATGACTTCCCGTTGCAAATAGAGATGGCACTTGGGTACCGTTGGCAGGTACCCGCAGGCGGGTACCCGCCTGCCTCAGGGGGTACCCGCAAGCGGGTGCAGGGTGCGGGTGCGGGTGCTCACTTCAG